ACACACACACACACACACACACACACACACACACACACACACACACATGCTTTTGACTTCAGTTGGACTTCTCGTTCACATCATTAGGTGGCATGGAGTCAGAAGGAAAGGGAGTTTGTTTATGTGTGTTTGTACGCAGCCTGTTTGACAGAAAGCTATTTGGCTGCAAGCGCTCTCCTCCATGCACCTGCATAGACACACATTCTCCAAGGCCGAGCTGCTTCTGTAAACATTTAGTTTACAGAGAACTGCTTGCTTTGAATGGAGGAGTTGTGAGTTAACACATGATACTAATGTGACGGACAACAGAGTAATGAAGCTGCTTTCCCCTCCAGAGGCCTGTTCGCTCTTCTGGCCGCCTCTGTTTCACCGGAGTGACTTTGTGGATGTTGTGCAAGTGCACACGTCTTACTTCTTTTGAAGAGTTCTCCTTTAGCAGAATGAGCTCTTAGTATATGAGGGAGATGCAGTCATGCAGCACGCTGGTCTTGTTGAAATGAGAATCTTTAGATCAATAAGAATATTCTCGTAGCGATATCCTGTACGTCGCATTACATTCTATAGACCAAACAGCCAAACGGTGAACTGAGATAATAATAGACAGATTGATGGACAATGGAAAAAATCGTTACTTGCAGCTCGAAACCAAAGTATTGGATAATCTGACTGACAGTCTTATTGTGCACATCAACGCTCTCAGGATGATGGACCTCTTTTGTTTAGTGGTGGGGAGCCATCTTCATTATAGATGTAGGAATAAGACCGTGGGTCTTCTTCCATAGACTTGTGTGGAATTTTGCAGCTGCTGTCACGTCCTTCACAGATCCCTCAGAAATGAATCCAGCAAGTCACTGCTGCTCGTTCATCCGTTCTGTTCCTTTTCAAATGTTGGTTTTCTGGACCTTTTGTGCTGATTCCCACCACAGATCCATTGGCCCTTCACAGCATTGCAGTGTTGCATTGTGGGCCCCTCAAGTGACACCAAGATCAGCGAGTCCATCGTCTCTCGGTGACCTCCAGTCCGTCTTGGGTCTGCCTAGACGACAGTGGGGTGCATGTTTTGCTGTTTGCTGTCCTTATTTTTGACACATTCATTTCGCAACCTGGCAACCCTAAAAATCGAGAACTTCCAAGCCACAAAAAGTCTCTCATCACTGATGTTTCTCTGCAGTCTGTAGGTTGTGTGATTCACTGTGTTGACATCATTGAGTTATTGTGGAACAATAAGACATCTTTGTATGGACTTTATATTTGGGACTAAGCTGGTTCCAGCAGAGGCAGCTCTGTGCAGATGCTGTTCATCTTGGATCTCATCGGTTTATCTGACGGTTTCATAAAAAAAGGTTTTGGTTTTGTTCGTCATTCAACCTTTTTTTTGTTACGTGAGCACGTTGCCTCTGGTTGTGTTCTCATTCATGTGCTCTGTCACAGAACTAGTTTTAGTTCATTGCAGCTCGTGAGTTCTTGGCATTCCTGAAGAGCTGCGTTGGTTAGGAGGTGAGGGGCTGGATGGATCTCAGCCACGTCTCCACGCTCCTCCATTCATCCAAATGTGTCTCCAATTGAATTCTACCGAGGCATCTCATCATTACAGATGCATTCAGAGATAAACAGAGACCACGCAAGAAGAATTGCATCGCCTTTAAGTGTGTCTTTGCAGTCAGAGGACAGCATGTGGGTCGTAGTAGAACCATAATGCAACACTGTGCTCCCTCCTTGTGCTCGGCTCTGTTTCCTGAGTGAAGCATGTGATCCTGGCATCTCTCCGTCCATCCGACACACAAACTCATGACCGTGTGCCTCATGTGTCGAGAGTGCAACAAGTCAAAGACTTCGACAGCCATAATTTAAGCACAAATGCAACAGAAAAAAAGCTGTTAGTATTAGATTTACATTCAAAAAGATATAAAAGTGGAGGTGGATGTTGCTCATTTTTATTGCCTCTACCAACACTGCTTTTTTGAAACTACATGAACAACATTTCATTTGTTTTGTTGTTATTTGAATACAAGTATAACGACTCTAATAAATATAGTCTGATGCATTCTCAGGTAAAAGAGCTGCAGGTACAGCCAGAGGAAACCTCAAATATCACCACAGTGAAATGACTGTGTGTCTTGGTATTTTCACACAGCCGAAGCATTTGAAGGGCGTTTTGTGGCAGCTGTGCTTGGCCCACAGTATATGAGTCATGTGTGGTGTGATGTGTGATCACAAAGCGTCCTAAGTGACTGACGAGCCTGCAGGCGAGCTGCACTAATGTTCATGTGACATGATGACAGGATGGGGGGGACGAGGACATATCAATTCTCTTCTCGTCTCCCGTCTCTGGTCTCTTTTTTTTTTTTTTTTTTTTTTTTTTTTTTTTTTTCCAGTTGTTCAGGCCAATGAATCCAAGGGGGCTGTTTGTCATTTAGGTCTGTGTTATTGATGTGGAGCGATAAACGCCAAGAAACACTTGAACCTGATGACATTATTACTTCACGGAGTCTGTTGACAGGCACGGATGGTGCTGCTGATGTCAATGCGTGACAAAGAGGAAATATAGAAAATATTGAGACACTACTCGGCTCCTGTTGCAACACCATGGATGTAGTTTCGATAAAACTGTGTAGAAATGAACAGACCTGAGATGCAATACTTGATATTTTTACCCTTGCCACAGAACATAATGTTTCAGTGTTTGCAACTGATGCTTCAACATTTCGGTGACCTTTTGTTTACCTGGAAATACGAAGTGTGACTCTTGTTAAAGACACAATGAGTAGCATTTGTTGTAACCTTTAAATGGCTGGTGGTGAGAGCCAACGTGTAAAAGTCAACCACAGACTCACTTTCCTTTTTGAAACGAGCTTTGTCCGCTTGGCCTTTCGCCTCGCTGTATTTGAGTTTTTCGGCGCCGTGTCCGCCATTTTCGTAGCTTCCTCTTGGATGCGTGCTTACGATCTGCCACGCGATCGCTACGTTTTTATTGAGGTTGACGTCCAGAAACGTGCCGAACAAAGCAAAAGGAATAGAAAGGAGAAAATCCAGGCAGATTGCCGACACACACTTCTAGTGCGTCATAAGTGATGCTTGAGAGGAATTATCTGTCTATTTATTGTTTGTTTTTTTTGGAAAATTGTACTCACTGTGCCTTTTTTAAGGAAAATAGTTTGACATTCTGGGAAATTCATCTCTGTGTTTTGTGGTGGAGAGTTAGATGAGAAGATATGTCCGTTAAATATGAATGTCAAGCCAGCAGACTTAGCGTAGCTTAGCACAAAGACAGGAAGCAGGGGGGAAAAAGCTAGCCAACTAACACGTCATATCACGTTTGTTTTTATCCCACACAAACCCAAAGTGTGACGTCATGAGTTATCTCCATCTTCTCATCTAACTCTCTGCCGGAAAGTGACGGAAGAGATTTCCCAAAATATCGCACTGTTCCTTTAAAGCTGACTCATTGATTAATTTAGTGTGATTGCAGCCGGAATTGCTGATTCGTGAATGTAACAGCAGCGTGGTGTAACGTGGTAAGGGCATCTCAGGCATCGCACCAAAAAAGAACTGCATTTCAGCAAAAAGGAGAAAATAGTCCCAGACGCTGAAGACACTAATAACTGCATGTATGGTCATTTAAGGTGTTTCCGCTATTTGTCCAGCCAACAGAATCAAACGGGGTAAGAACAATATCTAAAGGTTTGACAATTAGGCTGTCTTGTTCAAATTCAAACTCAATATTTATTTATTTATTTGGAAAAAAAGAACAATTTTGCCAATGCATTAAAATGCAAAAAAAAAAAATCTCTTTTTCGTGATGAGTGATTTGGAAAACAATCCAGATTTCTGAGGAACAAACTTTAGTTCTTTTCGTAAACCTTTTTCGGGGGAGTTATGTTTGTTTCGTTCTCATCATTTCACCAGTATCACTTCCGCCTGTAAACATTAGCTTAATATATGGAGACCCACAAAGTTCCTGTTGCACTTTTGTTTTACTTCACGGCTAAGTGCTGATTTAACAGTGTGAGCTTTATTTATTTCCTACTGCAATGGCCCCTGTGCTGAACACTGGCCTTTTTTGTATGTTTAACTGAAGTCTCTGCTCCGACCCCCCCCCCCCCTCCCCAGG